ATAGAATTCTTAACGTTCAAGAGAGATGTAATCTGAGACTCTAGGTGCCACTGTAATATGAACTAGTCTTCATTCTTTTTCTTTTTTTAAATATTTTATTTATTTATTCATGAGAGACACAGAGAAGAGAGGCAGAGACACAGGCAGAGGGAGAAGCAGGCTCCGGGGATCCCTGGGTGGCTCAGCGGTTTAGCGCCTGCCTTTGGCCCAGGGCACCATCCTGCAGTCCCAGGATCGAGTATCATGTCGGGCTCCCTGCATGGAGCCTGCTTCTCTCTCCTCCTGTGTCTCTACCTCTCTGTCTCTCTCTGTCTCTCTCTCTCTCAAATAAATAAATAAATAAATCTATCTTTAAAAAAAAAAAAAGAAGAAGCAGGCTCCATGCAGGGAGCCTGATGTGGGACTCGATCCCGGGACTCTAGGATCACGTCCTGAACCGAAGGCAGACGCTTTAACCGCTGAGCCACCCAGGTGTTCCCGTCTTCATTCTTTAATAGATCTAAAACTTCTATCTTATGGATGTAAGAACCGTAACTTTGAGATCACTTTATTTTCATGATGAGCAGTAATGCTTAGCTTTTGAGAAACATGTTTTCCTTAAAAAAAATATAGGAAATCTGTATAGAATTCATTGAGACTAGTATAAGATAATAAAGCTTTTTTGCCTTGCTGAGTGGGCAGCTGGGCCCACTAGCTAAATGACTATAAAACTGTCATAGTTCTTTTTTTTTTTTTTAAGATTTTTTAATTTACTTACTCATAAGAGACACAAAGAGAGAGGCAGAGACATAGGCAGAGAAGCAGGATCCCTTGAGCAAGCCTGATTTGGGGGACTCAATACCAGGACCCTGGGATCACAACCCAGCCAAAAAAGGCAGATGCTCAACCACTGAGCCACCCAGATGTTCCTGTCATAGTTCTTTACTAATAGTTAAAATCACAAAAATCAGTGTTCTACTTCATTTTATTTTTGAAGTGTTCAGGAGGTGGAAACAATAAAGAGAATTCTGAGTGGAAGTTTTCACTGTTTCACACTAGATTAATTTCCCTAAAGCATGGTTTTCTTATTTGTATCCCTCTTGAAATTCTTCTCTGACTCTTTGAATTTAGGATAAAGTCCATAGACTAGTACTACACAGTTCTTCTACAGATTGCTCTTCATTTGTTTTTCCAAACTAAATCTGAACATTTAAAAAATCATTCAAATCAATTTTAAAAATCATTTAAAAAATTATAATGTTTTCTGTGCACTGGGTACTGTACAAAGCTTTTTGGATATAATGATAAATAAGAAAGACATGATCCCCATCCCTATAGACGTGCCTAACTGCTTCAGCTTAACTGATTTGCATAATTTAAATATAGCATGTTTAGTTCTGCCTTTTTACCTTTGTTTATGTAATTCTTTTTTCCAGAAAATCCTTCCCCTTCAACATATTCAAATTTTATTCATGCTTCAAATCTCACCTCTGGTGATATCTGCACTATGTCTTCTCCTTGTCCATGTCAGGTCATTTTAGTCTCTTTCTTCTGAATGGCCATAGCACCTAATACTTATTGTTCACTTTTGACTTTCACTTATAATTATTTATAAATACCAATTTTTAATTTTTTATGTATGTATCTTCCCAGATACCCTATAAGGCTTTGGATGGCCAGGCTGTCTCTGGCTCCTCCCCTAAATGATTCATGTCCCTCCCACATGCAAAATACACTCCCTTCCAAGTTTCCTAAAAGTCTCATCCCATTAGGTACCACATCAGAGTACAGAATCTCCTCATCAAAATCAGATCAAGGTGTAGATGAGGCTCCTCAAGTATAGTTGCTTAAGTACAACTCCTCAAGAACAGTTTCTCGAAATCTGAAGACCTGTGAACTAAAGAGACAAGCTATCTAGCCTCCACATCCCCCCATGCACACTGCCTATACACTGATGGGACAGGTATAGGATAATTGCTATAGAGGTTCCTGTTCAAAAGTGGGAAAATGAGAGGCACAAAGCAGTCACTGGTCCATAGTGATTTTGAAATTTGGGTGGGCAGACATTGGAGTTTCCTTGATTATATCAGAAGACCTGAGAATAATTTCTTAGGGTTTCAGGCTTTGTCCTCTTGGTTTTTGTTCCTCCCTTTGAGTCATCCTTACTTTTTCATGAAATAAAGCATGTGTTTGCATCTAAGTGGTTTTCTTAGTCAGCTTCCTGACAATAGAATTTTGGAGGTCCAGTGGTCTCTTTTTACTTTGTACTGTTCAGTGTTCTTTTTAGTTCAGTTTAGCAGTGTGTTTGCTGTTGTTATTCTCTCAAAAACTTTGTCAGCCTTCTGTGAATCATGTTGGGGTTTATTCCATAAGATAAAAGCCACATCTAAGAATCTCTGTGGAGATATTGAGGTAAAATGTACTCAAGCTTTCTAGAGTGTCTGTTGTTTGATTGAGAGGCTCTGTGAAATATACCTTTAATCTTTTTAAAGGGCTTTTAGTATAATTAGTACTGTGAAGTACCACTCTTGACCTTTCTGGGGTCTTAAGAAGAGGTTTTGCAGTCACCCCTCAGCTTCATTTTAGGCCATGTACTGCCCTGGATTCAGACTTTGTTTGGAAGCTATTCCTGACTTTAACACCTTTTGCCATCTTGAGAGGCTGAGAATTTTCAAAACTATTTGTGTCCTGGTTTAGTTTGTTTGTTTGATTCGCAGCCCTTTCTTTAGATTAGTTTATCTCTCTTCTCTTGCATTTTACAGTAAGTGGTGCAAAAAACAAAACAAAACAAAAAACCTACACATAACACAACACTTTAACCTTGCTTGGAAATTTTAGTTAAATCACTCACTTCATTAAATTACATTTCCTAGTTTCCACACTACTGAAGATAATGGTGGTGTTAGGTTTCTGCAACTACTAAACAGGAATTTGCATTTCTCCAACTTCCAAAAACATTTTCCTCACTTCCTCCTGAACCCTTGTATAAAGAATACTCAAAGTCCAACTTTCTACTAACTGTCTGTTCAAGGCAATTTAAGCTTTCTTTAACATGTCCCTCAAAATCTTTCCAACCTCTACCCACTGCCAAGTTCCAAAACTACACCTACATTTTTAGGTATTTATTATGGCAGCACCCCATGTTCAGTTTTCAACATCTATACTAGTTACTTCTAACAAGTTATCTCTAAACTTAGCAGCTGAAAGCAACAAACATTTATTGTCTTAACAATTTGGTTAGGTTAGGAATCTTGGTGTGGCTTAACTGGATCCTGTCAGCTGAGGCCATGGGGTACATTTGAATGTTCCACAAAGGGACAGTCTGCTTCCTAGCTCACTCATGTGGTTGTTGGCAGGATTCAGGTCAGATCCTGTTGGACAGAGGCCTTTTTTAGTTCCTTCCTAGTGGGCTTCTTTTATGGGGCAGTTGACAGCATGACTAGCTGGCTTCCCTCAGAGCAGAAGAGGGCTGGCAAGACAGAAACTATTATCTTTTTGTAACCTAATCTTGGAAGCAACATCCTATCACTTTTGCCTTATGTTCTGTGTTAAAAGCAAATTATTAGGTACAGCCTATACTTGAGGGGAGGAGATTATACAAGGGTATGAATACCAGGAGGCAGGGATCATTGAAAGCCATCTTAGAAGCGGTAGGATCTTTGGCCACTAATTGCATATGATGGTGAATCTGCATTTACTGGGTTTGAAAATTGGAAGAGAGTGTCTAGAACACACCAACGAAATAATATTTACATAACACATTTAAAAGAATCTTTACAACCCTGTAACTTACTGAGACTTGAAAATAATTTTAGGAGCTTAATTTCTTTATACAAACCAACTTTTATTCCTACACAAATGTACCCCTTGTTTATATCTTCACATGAAGTATGATGGAGTAAAAGACTTTTTAGAGAGATTTTTGTAATCAAAGTACATCTGACTGTAGGACAAATGATCAAGTGCTTTGTTGGCTTTTTCTGTTACTGATATGTGACCGTATTTACAGGATGTAAAAAGTTAAATAAATGAGGTCACTTGCCTTGGATATTTCTGAGATAAAAGTTATTCCTGTACCTTTTTAAGGTAGTTCTGGTATTATGGTAGAAAGCCATGTTGCTTACATTTTCAGTGCAGTGAACTTAGATGGTATGACTCTAGGAGTAATTCTACAAACATACACACATATGAAGAAAAATCATACTAATTTTGGTATTAGAAGAAAGAGGCTGAGAAGAATGATTGCAATATCCTATACTTGTCCTGGAAAATGTATTTTCATCAAAAGACAGGAACCTCTGAAACCTTTTTCTTTGTTAGTCATACTGCCGTGTGTTCATTATTCCTGCCCCAAACTCTGTAACTCTTGGCACAGAAATGACTTTAACAGGCACGGCAGAGTGGCCTGAAAAATAACAGTAATAACTTTTTTTCCATGGACTATTTTAGTATTAGTTGGTTCACAGCTTGAGTGATCTGATAAATATAGTGATGTTTATGCTGAAAATACATAGTACATTTAAGTAACTTTTTCATTTATGCGTTACAGAAATATCCTTACATTTCTTTCATGTTTCCCAGAAAGTATGGTGGTTCGTTTTGTAGTTATGCTAGAGAAGCTTAAGGTAGAATAGAGGAAAAGAGTTTGTATAGATGACTAAAGCTAGTTATTTCAGAGTTGCAGCTAAATCTCTTAGTAGATTTGTAATAGAAAATTTGTCAATAATAACAATGTTATTAAATAATATGGATAGCCAACCCTGTTTTACTTTTTTAAAAGATTTTATTTATTTGTTCATGAGACAAAGAGAGGCAGAGACATAGGCAGAGGGAGAAGCAGGCTCCTCACAGGGAGCCCAGTGGGGGCTCGATCCTGGAACCCCGGGATCACACCCTGAGCCAAAGACAACGTTCAACCACTGAGCCACCCAGGCGTCCCCCAACCATGTTAGAATACTATACAACAGTTCCTTTCTAGATTATCCCTAATATATAAAATTGTCTTTCTTTTTCCTTTACAGGTGATATAACGTTACAAAGCAAGATGGGAAATATCGTAGTAGGTATGTGCTAAGCTGCTGGTTGGTAAATTTTGCATCCTTTTAAGAATAGCTATATTTGTGATATTAGGGTAAATAAAATCTGAAATTTAGCTGACGAATCTGATAGAATCCTGATAATGGAAGCCAAATATAGGCAGACCCATTGTATGAATACATAAAATTATTTCTGGAAATTCATTGACTCATCATCCTATATATAACGTATAATTATAGATTTGGTGTCAGTAAGAATAAAGTTAGAATTCTGACTTCACCACTTTGTATAAATGGGCTAATTACCTTCTCTGTGCTTCAATTTCCACATCTAAAAAAATAGAAATAATACTAAGTACCTATCATTTAGGGTTATTGTAAGAAGTGAGATCATATATTTAAAGTACTTCACGATGTCTGACGTATGGTAAAAATTGAATAAATAATAGTCATTTTTATTATTGTTCTAATCCTAAGTCAGAGCTAATAGTGGCTAATGGTACCTTAGACCTCATCACTACATGTGATTCTGCGTCTGTGGGAGAAAAAGTTCAGATTTCAGAGAGTTTAGATAGTTTTTCTCCTCCCAAATAGCACCAAGTGGGCAAAGGCACACTGAACCCTAAGAGTAGTGGTGGTTTTTAGGCCTTAAAGGATTGGGGGTGGGGATGGGAAACCAGAACCTTTGTGGGGAAGCTGTGGCTTATTGTCATTATGAACGCCCAAGCCTCCTGGCTTTGTCCTTTTTGACATTTTACATTTTTCCTTTCTTTGTACTGATTGAAATAGTAAACATGTTCATTAGTTCTTTTCACTATCACTCCTGAAGTTTCTGGCTAAAAGTACATACCTTTTTAAAAATTTTAAAGAAGGCAGCCTCGGTGGCTCAGCGGTTTAGCGCTGCCTTCAGCCCGGGGTGTGATCCTGGAGACACGGGATCGAGTCCCACATCGGGCTCCCTGAATGGAGCCTGCTTCTCCCTCTGCCTGTGTCTTTGCCTCGCTCTTTCTCTGTCGGTCTGTCATTCATAAATTAATTAATTAATTAATTAATTTTAAGGGATAGTATCTTTTATGTTCAGTAAGTGATTAAGTAGAAAATAAAGGCTTCTTAAGTGGTAGTTATAAATCCTTTTACCTAGGACTTCTGGGTGGCTCAGCGGTTAAGCACCTACCTTTGGCTCAGGGTGTGATCCTGTAGTCCTGGGATCGAATCCTGCATCAGGTTCCCTGCATGGAGCCTGCTTCTCCCTCTACCTATGTCCCTGCTTCTCTGCCTGTGTCTCTCATGAATAAATAAATAAAATCGTTTAAAAGAAAATTATTTAAAAAAAAAAAGAAAAAATCATTTTAACTAAGACATGACAGAAGGATTTACCTGTTTCCAGTAATCAAGATTTACTGTTGACTGCTCAGGCCATTTCGTCAGAGCACACATCTTGAGATGGTAAGGGAAATTTCTAGTGTGAACAAAAAGGTACACTGGTGAAAAGCTAAGCTAGCTGAGGAGAGAAAATGCTAGACGGAGTGGAGTTTGTAGCAATAAGGCAAGAGGGGAAAAAGAGAATATTGCAAATTGGGAGGCACAGAATTTCAATACCAACTAGAAGGCCCTTTAAGCAGATATGAATTTGATGAATACTTATGATTATAATATGATAATGCTAGTGTTATTCTTGGATGGAAATATGGGAACAAAACGGAAAACCATTCTCTCTAAAATTGGAAATAAATGGTTATTTATTTATACTGGCTAAGAATAGTAATAGCAGGGATGAAATGAGCAGTAATGTATGTGTTTGAAGATGGTTTCAAACTCTGTATAAATGATTAACATTATAAATTCTTTTTAATTTTCCATATGAACTTTTCCCCACTATTAAGTACTAGAGGGATTTTCAAACAAAATGTTTTATTTTTCTTAGATAAATCTCTGTCTACTCAAAGAAAATGACCTAAGTCCAATGTTAAGAAATATATTATAGGGGGGACGCCTGGATGGCTCAGCAGTTGAGCATCTGCCTTTGGCTCAGGTCGTGATTCTGGGGTCCTGGGATCGAGTCCCACATCGGGCTCCCCGCAGGGAGCCTGCTTCTCCCTCTGCCTATGTCTCTGCCTCTCTCTGTGTCTCTCATGAATAAATAAATAAAATATGTGTTTTTTTTTAATATATTGTAGGGGTGCCTGGGTGGCTCAGTCAGTTGAGTGTTGGACTCTTTGTTTTGGCTCCACTGGTGATCTTGGTATCATGGGATAGAACCATGTGTTGGGCTCCATGGTTGGCAGGGAATTTGCTTGGAGAGTCTCTGCTTTCTGGCCCTCCCTCTGCCCTGCCTGTACATGCATGCTTGCTCACTTGCTCTCAAATGAATAAGAAAATCTTCTAGATTCTAGAAATAGTTAATGACCCTTTATATTTTCTTTAGCAAAATTTAAATCGAGTCCGTGGTTTTAGGTTGTTCTTAAAAATCCACAAATATGTGAAAGTAAATAAAGGTTGAATTCTTATTTGGTAAATGTGGTTGATAAATTTAGGATTTTAGGAAGAATCTTTTAAAATAAGATTTTGGAAGAATCTTTTAAAATAAGAGAAAATGTATACATTTGTTAAATTATATTTTGATCTGTTGTAGTGTGGAGAAGCATGAACTGTAGAAGTAGATTTGATTGTGAATTTTGGTCCTACCACCTATTTGCTGTGTGAGTTTGATCAAATTAATAAGTGTTTCTGAATTTGCATTTTTACACATAAAGTGGATATCACTTAATATAGCGCAACATTGTTAAGATATTAAATAGCATAGTACCTACTAATAGCCTACTGTTGACCAGAAGCCTTAACCAATAACACAAACTGTTAGTTAACACATATTTTGTATGCCATATGTATTATATACTATATTATTATAATAAGTAAGCAAGAGAAAAGAAATGTTAAGAAAATACATTTACAGTACTGTACTGTATATTTATCCAAAAAATTCACTTATGAATTTTTTCAAATTCATAAGTAAATTCAAATTTTTTCAAATTCCTAGCCGTTCAAACCTGTGTTCAAGGATCACCAATATAAGTTACAGCCCAACAAATGGTAGTTATTCAATAAACTATCCTCTTTCTTCTTGGAGTTTATTATCTATAATATAAAACTGTAAGCCACTATGTTTTAGCCCTAATTATGAAAGAAATGTTTATTTCATAAATTCCTTTCTTTCAGTATCTATATCAAGACTTTGGAAGAAAAATATAAATTATGTCTATATTTACTGCCTCAACATTGTGTTAATATTTGAAGACAATCATGTGTATGGCAGTAACTAGTCAACATCTATTTGTTGAGTGCCTGCTCAGTATCAGGAACTCTTTTAGGTACTAGGAAATATTATGGTCAACAAGACATAGTCTCCGTGCTCATGTTTGGCCTGAGTAGAAAGACAATAAGCATGTAAATAACCAAAGATAACTTCAGATTGTGCAATGAATAAATAAGAGGGTAATGGAATAGAGAATGAGGAAAGAAAGCTATTGCGTTTAGCAATCAGGAAGAGTCTGAAGAAGGGACATTTGAACTAAAGCCAGAATGGGAAAGAGGCTCATAAAATTCTGGATACAGAGCTCCCCAGATAGAGGAAAAGCTGGTGCAAGCCCTGAAAATGGAATGAACCTACCATTTTCAAGGTACAGAAGGAGATCTTGTGGAGAGTCATGGGAAATGAGGTAAGTGAGGGCTAAATCTAGATAGAGCCTTATAGACATTGTAAGTATACGGTCTTAATTCCAACTACAACAGGTGTTAGCAGGGGAGTAATATATAATTTATATTTTGAAAGAGCAACCAAGAGCTGTTGTTTTGTAATGTACCAGAGGGTATAGAAGTTGAAGCAGGCAACTAGAAAGCTTAATTTGTTTATCTATACTGTTGATGGATACCTGGGCTGTGTCTAGTTTTTGGCAATTGTAAAAAAGGTTGCTATGAACATTTTTAGACAAGTCATTTTATGGAGGGATATATATATGTGTACATATGTGTATATATATACACACACATTTTTATGTATGTATTTTTCTCCTCTTGGGTAAATACCTAGGAATAGAATTGCTGATTTGAGTATGCATAATAAACTACCAGATAAACTACTCCCAAGTTCCATTTCACACTTCCTCCTACAGTGTATGAGAAGTTGTTCTGCATCCTCACCAGTATTTTTATTGTCAGTCTTTTAATTTCACCCGTTCCAGTGTGTATACAGTGGTTTTCCTATATTAACTTACATTTCCCTGGTGACTAATGATATTTAGTACTTTCTCATGTACTTATTGGTTATTAGTATATTTTTTTTTTTCAGATTTTATTTATGTATTTGAGAGAAAGAGTGAGAGCATGAGCAGGGAGGGGCAGAGTGATAAACAGACTCCCAGATTCTGAGCAGGGAGCCAGACATGGGATTTGATCCTGGGACTCTGGGATCATGACTCCACTGAAGACAGACCCCTAACCAACCGAGCCACCAAGGCGCCTCTCTTTCTTTATGAAGTTTTGTGTTTTGTTTGTTTGTTTGTTTAAAGATTCTATTTATTTATTCATTAGAGATACAAAGAGAAAGGCAGAGACGTAGCAGAGGAAGAAGCAGAAACCCTTGCAAGGAGCCTGATGTGGGACTTGATCCTGGACCCCAGAATCATGCCCTGAGCTGAAAGATGCTCAAACACTGAGCCAACAAGGCGTCCCTCTTTTTAAATATTTTGTTCAGATATTTTGCCCATTTAATTTTCAACTGGATTATTTATCTTTTTATTATTGAATTGGAGGAGTTGTTCATATGTTCTGGGAACAACCCTCCGTCATATCGTTGTTTTTCCATATTTCCTCTCAGTCTGTGACTTGCCTATGCATTTTCTTAATGGTGTGTTTTGATGAGAAGATTTCCATTTTGATAAAGTCTAATTTACTGATTATTTTCATGGTTATTGTTTCCTGTGTCCTGAGAAATCTGTATCTGCTTTCAATCATAAAGCTGTTCTCTTATG